CAAATATAGATCACATGTCGTTGGGAGGACTCGGAGACAGCTTCTACGAGTACCTGCTGAAAGCTTGGATTCAGTCGGGCAAGGAGGACGTCGAGGCCCGTCAGATGTAGGACGAAGCGATCGCAGCGATAGATCAACACATGATCCAAACGTCACCTGGAAAGCTGCTTTATGTATCGGACAGGCTGAAATACGACAGGCTGGACCATAAAATGGGTCATCTAGCCTGTTTCGCTGGTGAGTTTTAACAGAAATCCTCTTACTCTTCCATTTGATAATTCCGCTTCGCTGGAATATCTTTTCAGCGACCAGTTTCTTCTGTTTAGAAATTGATCAGAAGTTAACCATAGGCTCCGTGAAATAGATAAAATGTCCGTTTCCAGGTGGAATGTTCGCATTAGGTGCCAAAACAATGGAAAACGAAATGTCTGACAGATACATGTCGATAGCTGCTGGTTTAACTAACACGTGCCACGAATCCTACGATCGAAGCTTCACGAAACTTGGACCGGAAGCTTTCCATTTCATCGAGGGTAATGAGGCGAAGAGCTTAAAGAACGGCGAGAAATATTACATCCTCCGACCGGAAGTAAGTTTCTTTCTTCCTTCCATTCGATATAGAGTTCATTCACCAGCTGTAAAATATATATTCTCAAAAACGAAACAGGAATATAAACGCCCTAGGTGAAACGAGCTGGGAAGTAACGTTTCGACGTAATTTTCTGGTGTTTTCCCAGCCAGGAAAGCTAAAATATTCAATCCTTCGTTTTTCACGTCACTCACTGGGCAAATACGGTCTGCTGGCTCCGTGGAATAAAATATTTACCTTTCAGACGTTCGAATCGTACTTCGTGATGTGGCGGCTGACAAAGGACCCGAAATACCGCGAGTGGGGGTGGGAGGCTGTCCAGGCGTTGGAGAAATACTGTCGTGTTCCAGGAGGCTTCACTGGACTTCACAACGTTTACGTGATTGATCCACCGCAAGACGATGTTCAACAAAGCTACTTCTTCGCTGAGACTCTCAAGGTGCTAGTCCCTTTTTTAATGAACGGTAGATCGAGTGAAACACAAACCACACCCCTAACATTGTTTCGGAAAGGTAGTTTTTCATAGTTTGTTGTAACCATTTGAGTTCCTTGAAACTGCCAAGGAACTCACACTTTGCTATTATAAATTATTCGCATTGAATGCAACGTGACGGCTGGTGCTTACAGCAATAACAAGTGCGTGCACACGATACATGAGTTTTCGCCTACCGTTCCACCTGGATATAAGATATCGAAAAGACCAGCACAGATCATTTACCTCCCAATCACTGCGCGAAGCATTTCGGATTTAACGATTCGCGTTGCGGATCAAGACGGTCAATTACTCGATTTTCCAGGGGAACAGATCACCGTTCGACTGCATGTACGGAGACAACGGCTGTAGTAGGAGATGCTTGTGCTGAACGAAGCGGAGCAGGTGAAACAGACAACACGTGAAAACAAAGAGAAGACAATTCAATCGTCGGCGCACCTCACTGTATCGAATATTGACTGTCTAAAACCATCAGGCGAGAAGGCAATTCGATCACCCGCGAAACTCACCGCATCGAATATTGAATTTCTGAAATCGTTGGGTTTTGTTGTACGAAATGGCTAATATCTTAAACATTGGAGGCAAACCGATCTTTGACGACAGCATCGTCAAGATGGAGACTCATACGTACAACCCATACGCCAACACAACGTTTGGACACAGCGATGAGATACGAATACCTATACAACAGCAGGATTTATGCACGTTGCCAAGCGAGAGCTTTCTATACGTTGAAGGAAGATTCACAGTAAAGAAGCCAAACAAGGAGTTGAAAGCATATCTCGGAAATAATTGTGTTGCGTTTATGTTTGATGAAATTCGATATGAACTCAATGGTGTGGAGATCGATCGTAACAGAAACGTTGGAATAACAAGTACCATCAAACCTTCGTGTCCTCAATATTTGATAAATCGTTAATTTTACGGAATGCTGGATGGGCCACACAGTCAAACATACCGACAGGTTACTTTAACCTTTGCGTACCGCTAAACATGTTGTTGGGTTTTTGCGAAGATTACAAGCGTATAGTAATCAATGCTCGTCATGAGCTCATTCTTATACGCGCTCGCAGCGATAACAACAGCGTCGTTGCGATTAATACTATCAAACATTAACAAAAACAAATGTTGAAGTGCGGACGCGGTTATCGTGCTAGAGTAAACACTACTGACCTCGAGTAGCCTGTCGCGTTCTCTTGTTCGGATATAAAATTTTTCAGTTAGTAAAGTGTTGCAAATTGTGGAAATTAGATCAGTGAATACATGAATAGTTGTTGCTCTCGCAACAACGACATTAGAATGACCTCTGACTACAGGAGTCATTCTGTCAAACCTGCAACCCAATGTTCCAGTACGGAAAGTTCTAAACCAGCTAGTTACGCATCAGTCACGCAGATTAATATGTTTCCCAAAAAGGAACAAGCGATCATTATGGAAGCCTAAAACGGAATTGAACTCAAAGATTATATCAAAGCTGTTGGAAATCTAACAAGTCCGGCAAATATTCGGTTCGCATCTAGAATTTCAAACAACAGAATTTGCATCTTTCTGGCCACCAAGGACATAGCCGACCAACTGACTAACAAGTATACAAAGATTATTATAGCAAATCAACATATAGAACTTCGACCTCTATTAGTCAAACATAGAAGAATTATCTTCTCAAACGTTTATCCTACGATACCACATGTCCTGATTGAAGAAGTGCTCGACAAACTCAAAGTTAGACGAGAATCCTCTGTATCTTTCTTAAGGGCTGGTTTGTCTGATCAAGGTTATACCCACATTCTTAGTTTCCGGCGACAAGTCTTCATCCATCCGGATGATGTTAACAAAATTCCTGATTCTATCCAAATAAATCACGAAAATACTACTTATTGGATCTATCCATCTGCCGATAATTTGAAATGCTTTATATGCAAACAAGATGGGCATCGTGCTAAAGACTGTCCAACTAATGAAGACAATAAAAATAAAACTGCTGACATCGAAAATAACACAACTCAAAATCTGACTGAAACAATAAGCACTGTAGAAGTTTCTACGCCAAATGCTATTTCGAACAAGGTCTCCCCAGCTGGGTATCTTATGGAATATACAGTTGAAGAACCTAAAACCATCGCAGTCAAGCGAACCAGATCTGAGGTAAGCACGACTGTTTCAGAGAAATCGATTGAACCGATCGCAGACCAACCAAATATGAAAGAACCGATGGAAATGCCATCCAAAAAACCAAAGAAACTGAAGAAAGCCAAAGTTGCAGACGTCCCAGTAAAGTCACTCGAAGAAATGCTGTGTCCTCTCAAAGATGTTCTTGATAATCCCGATTCTTCGATAAATTACATAAAATTTAAAAGTTTTATGGAGAAAGCTCATGGATAGGCCGCTGCGAGAGAAATTGCTGATGAGTATACTAACAACATAGATGAACTGATATCTCTTATGGAGAAATTATATCCTCTTCTTAAAGAGAGGTGCATAAAACATAGATTCTCCCGCATCATGAATAGGTTAAGGAAGCCGTTGTCGACTGAACCCTCGTCACCATACCCCACCTCGTCTGAAGAAGATGACAATTTTCAACCAACAAATATTGATTAGACAAACTTAACGAATGACTACTAAAATTATCCAGTGGAACATAAACGGCTTAAGGACACATTATGAATATCTCCAGAAACTCATAGCTGATAATGATGCTGATATCGTTTGCATTCAAGAAACTAATTTCAAGGAGTCTAGCTGCACCAAAATAAAAAACTTTGATATTTTGTACAGAAACAGAAGACATTGTCTCTCTGCAAGTGGTGGAGTGGCCATTTACATCAAAGACTACTTATTCAAAACCAATATCTCTGTCGATACCAATTTAGAAGCAGTGGCAGCCACCCTTTTTTTAGCAAACAGATTAATTACAATTTGCAATGTCTACATTCCAGTCAGTCATCACTTACAATCTAAAGAATTATCTGAACTACTAAATCAGCTTCCCAAACCTTGCATTATCATAGGTGATTTTAATTGTCACAATAGCCTCTGGGGTTCAGATAAAACCGACCAAAGAGGTAAACTTATTGAGAAGTTTCTTGATGATAATGATCTGCTCCTTCTTAATAAAAAGGACCCCACACACTTCAACGTGGCATCGGGCAAGTTGAGCTGCATTGATCTTTCTATTGCCTCTCCTGGCATTGCGGATCTACTTGACTGGCAAGTCTCCTCTGAGCTTCTGGATAGTGACCACTTTCCGATTTTCTTAAATATAGAATGCAATACTATCGTTGGGAATATCAACTCCCCCAGATGGAAATTTCGCAAAGCTGACTGGGCTATGTTTCAATCATTAATTGATAACAGTATCGATGGGCTTGAAACACCAAACGAATCAAATGCTTGTCACATCAGCATGCTAGTCCAAAATTTTACCGACGTAATCTCACAAGCAGCTTCTCGATCTATACCCCAAACAAGAAATAATAAACAGAAGAAAAACGTTCCTTGGTGGAATAATGATTGTGAAGCAGCTATCAAGGAATACAAACACTCTCTTAATGTTTACAGACGTCATAATACCGAATTACAAATAAAATTAACTACCGGAGACATCGGGCTATCGCAAGAAAAATCATTAGGCAGAGCAAAAAACAATCGTGGATTAATTATGTTTCCAAACTGAATCACAATGCCCCTTCTTCCGAAGTTTGGAAAAAGCTAAAACATATCAACGGGAATTTGAAGCACCTTGATATCAGGACTGTCATCACATCGGATAACTTACTAATTTCCAATCCGGTTGACATAGCAAACTGCTTCGCCAGAACCTTTGCTAATAATTCAAGTGACAGCAATTTTAATCAAGATTTTCGTAGTTTCAAACAGACTTTCCTGGAAGAGGTATCTAATGATACACGACACGAAATGTCTGATTCGGTACCTGAGATAAATGTAAAAATTAGCATCGCAGAACTACAGGAATCTCTGCACAAGTGCAAAAACTCCAGTCCCGGACCTGACAAGTTACCGAATATTTTCATTAAGAAACTCTCCATAAAAGCACTAAATTACCTATTAGACCTATTTAACTGCATATGGTGTAACAACGTCTTTCCAAAGCAATGGAGTGAAGCGATTGTAGTGCCAATTCCCAAGCCAGACAAAAATAGAAACCACATTGGAAGCTATAGACCTATCGCTTTAACGTGTTGTTTATGCAAATTAATGGAAAGAATTATAAATAAGCGACTCAGATGGTTTCTGGAAAGAAACAGACTTCTATCTATCCACCAAAGTGGGTTTAGGCATCGTCGTAGTACATTGGACAGCCTTGTCACCTTGGAATCCAGCATTTGTGAAGCTTTTGCGAATAGACATCATCTTATTGCAGTCTGCCTCGACATTGAAAAGGCGTATCACATGGTCTGGAGGGATAGAATCATCAGTATAATGAAAAACTTCAAGCTAAACGGAAATATTTTAAAATTTACGATCAACTTTCTTAAATCTCGGCCCATTCAAGTTCGTATCAATAGTACTTTGTCTGAAAAAACATTAATTAATAATGGAGTTCCTCAAGGATCGGTACTGAGTGTTACGTTCTTTCTTCTGGCAATAGACGAAATTTCTAGTATTATTAAGGCTCCAGTTAAGTGTACCTTGTTTGCTGATGATTTTAATCTATTCGTTTCCGGTAAAAATATCAAAACATCAGAAGACATTATGCAAAAAACCTTAAATCAAATCAGTTTATTCTCAGCTAAAACGGGCCTTAAGTTTTCCGAATCTAAATCGAAAGTTATTGTTTTTAATAGAAATTTTTTAGAGCAGGACAATCCAACCTTACGACTAGGAAATCATATTCTTTCAATAACCAACCAAATTAGAATACTTGGCCTAATTTTCGACAGCAGGCTTACGTGGGTACCACATGTTAAGAAGTTAAGAGATAGTTGCGCTAGGAGCCTTAATGTTTTGAAAGCAATAGCTACAAAAAACTGGGGAGCAGACTTTCAAGTTTTAATTGCAACGTATAAAGCATTAATCAGACCCAAAATAGACTACGGCTCAATGGTGTATAGTTCGGCGAGCGCGGTTACACTTAAGAAGCTGGACACAATTAACAGCAGTGCTGCAAGAATAGCAACTGGAGCTTTTTGCACTAGCCCTATTTACAGCTTACTAAGTGAGGCAAACCTTGTTCCGTTGAACTACAGAAGAATGCAACTTACACTTTCGTACGCCTTAACTAGTGCTGCATCCCCGTTTAACCCAACGAAAAAGATCCTCTTTTCAAACTTTATTGATCTCTTGGACCGGAAATCCAAATTACCGAAACCAATTAATATTCGTATTCTCCAAATATTAAAAAAGTTAAATATGACATTAGCTGATACCCTTCCATGTGAAGAGTTCAAAACACCTCCCTGGCTTTTGAAAACTCCAAGACAAATAACCTTCGATCATTCTTCAAAGAAAAATGAAAACCAAGATTTTCTCAAGTCTTTATTTCTGGAAAGCGCCAGCCGATATCCTGACTACATAAAAATCTATACTGATGGGTCTAAAACCAAGCATGGAACTGGTTGTGGAATTGTAACACCTGTTGGTGATAGGCAATGGAAACTTCCAGACGTTTTCTCAATTTTCTCCTGTGGGGCATATGCAGCATTGGAAGCATTGAAATACATAGATGAAGTTAACAACAAAGATAACAAATATGTTATTTATACAGATTCCATGAGTACTCTTGCAGCTTTAAGAACTTTCAACTCAGGAAATTCAATTATCAATCAAATTATTGAAACATATAATGCAATTTTATCTAATAAAGCTGCAGAGATCCTTTTTGGATGGATCTCGTCCCATCTAGGAATAAGAGGGAACGAGAGAGCGGACCAAATCGCTAAAGAGGCTGCCAATCAACAGTGTCAAAGTCTAAGTGTACCAGCTTTTCATAAGGACATTCTAGTATCTCTCCTCAAAGTAATCAAGAACAATTGGAACATTGCCTGGGAAAACTCGCGCGCTACTTATATGCATTGTGTTAGGAATGATATCTTTGAAAGAAGCCCCGCTTTTTTGTTCAATAGGAAGCAGCAAAGCGTATTAACAAGAATACGAATTGGCCATACCAATTTTTCCCATGTGCATCTGATAAAAAAAGAGGACTGTCCAATGTGCATCAATTGTAATTTAAGGAACTCGATTCACCACATCATCTCGTCGTGCCCGGTGTATGAGAGTGAAAGAAGACATTTTGAAGTGAATGAAGACTCCAAAGAGCTTACTAGAACTTTCAATTCATGTGGAAAACAGCTTAAATTTTTGAAACATGTAAACCTTTTCCATTTAATTTAATTTTGGTCCAATGTGGTATAATTTAGTTTGACGGTTTCCTTATGGCATCTTGTGTCTGTACTTGTGTACTTTGCGTGGTTGCTAATGACCCATTCGGGTTGATGCAACCTTAAAAATTAAATATATATATATATAACAGCGTCGTTGCAAATTCCGAACTGGAGCCGGAGATCGAATTACTAAAGATACAGTGGCGAATGCCTCGCATTATACGGAACGATACGAATAAACTATCGATGTTGCGGATTTTGGAAAGCGGGCAATACCTAAGCATGAGTTTTCGTTCGTGGGACCTGTATGAGTACCCATTATTGCAAAGTACAACTAAACATTCGTGGGCCGTTAAAACTGCAACTTAGCTGGAGAAACCGCGATACGTAATTTTTGCGCTGCAGACTGGTCGAAAGAACATCATGTCTCAAGATGCGAGCAACTTCGATGCATGTAACTTGACCAACGTGAAACTTTATCTAAACTCTGACTTTTATCCATACGATGACTTGAATCTCGATTTTGATAAAAACAGATATGCTATTCTTTTTTATATGTATGCACGTTTTCGTAAAACTTATTACGGATACGACTGTTACGAAACGCTTTGCAACAGAGACAACTTTTCGTTGTATGGACCGTTTGTAGTAATCGATTGCTCGCGACAGAACGAATCAATCAAGAGCGCAACCGTAGATGTGCGAATAGAATTTGATTGTAAAGAAAACGTACCAACAAATACTACCGCGTATTGTCTTATTTTGCATGATCGCGTCGTCGAGTACTGTCCACTGTCCAACGTTGTGCACAGAATCACATAAATTGCAGCATCAGCAGTAGCTGTAGTATTTAAGAGCTGGGCACATCATATTGCGGTATAGTTTCAAAGATATTGTTGCGATGGTACCAACGTTTGTCGACATACAAGGATTCTTCCACAACGACAAGTTTGTCGTAAAGGAAGTTGCAGTGCTGAGAAAAGGAAGCATTCTCGCACCCTATATATTCCAAAGACCATTTACTTGGAGTGCGTTGTCTGTAGCCGATAAATCCCAGGCTGCTTGGGTGGCGAACAACGTCCATGGATTGTCATGGAATGAGGATGGTTTCGTTCCACACCACGAAGCAAAACAATTGATTGCAGCGGCAGTTGTGGGTGACGATCCAAGTACTCTCGTATATGTGAAAGGATCCCAAAAACGAGACTGGTTGGCAGATTTGGTGG